TGCACCAAAATGCCCCTTTCTTTTCTGCCTTTTAAGTCTTTCATCTTTCCAGTCTGCAAGATGTGAGATAGCAGCACAGGCTTCCTGCTTTCCTCCCTTTTTATTCACACAGGACATATATATATATATAAAAGTATATATAATTTATAGATAACGTATACATAAAATAATATTCTGTCTCAATACATGCAGACACACACGAAGCATGTTGCAGAGCCTGTGGGAAATACTGTCTGCAATAGAGTTTGCTAATTACAGCAGCTCTAATGGCAACTTCCCCCCACCCTTCCCAACAGCAACAGAGATCAAAACCTTTTTTGTTTAAAATATTTACTGTACAGCTTGCAAAGCTTTAATCAACGTAACATGACGTTTCCTTGCAGCAGCCGAGTAATAAATATGCAATTAATAGGGAATTGAAATACCCCCATTAGCTGTTTGCAGAGCCTCCACTTCCCACTGTACAAATGCATTTATTGCTCTGCCTGCAGTCAGCTGTACCACAGAGCACGGTGAGCCAGGCAATGCCCCCTCCTTTGGCAGGGACACAAGGGCTTTCACAGCAGCTTTGGGACTTTTGGAGTGAGGATCACTCCTGCTCCTGCTCTGGCAAGCCTGGTGACACAGGCAGGCTGGGAGCCACGGATCCACCCACAATTTGTGTCTGTCCTGCATGGGAATTGGGCTTTGGAGGCTGTTGGTTTTGCTTCAGTGAGTTCTGCACAGCTCCCAGGGCTCCCAGGGGCTGTGTTCTGGCCTGCTGCAGGGCTGGCACTGGGGAGCTCTGCCCATCCCTGGATGCTGTGGGGCTGGGCCCATAGCAGGGCTGCTTCTTCCCCTATCCCTGCTCCTGTTCCTGCTCCTGTTCCTGCTCCTGCTCCTGCTCCTGTTTCTGCTCCTGCTCCTGCTCCTGCCCCTATCCCTGCTCCTGTTCCTGCTCCTTCAGGTACCCTTGGCCAGCCTGGCACTAGCTGCACAGGCTCCAGCCCTGCTGGGCTTGCTCTTCAGCAGCCCATTGACCAAGTCAGCACAGTTCTGCAATTTATGTGCTGCTTTTACAAAATTGAACTTCCCACCATGGCTGGAGCACCATCCTGGCTCTGTCTTAGGAGACAGCACGGAGGTGGCTCCCATCCCCTGATAACAAAGTGGTAAAATACACACGGCACAACCACTTCAGAGCTTTCTCCAGAGTCCTGTCCCACACCCAAAGCCCCAGTGTGTGACAGGAGGCTGAACTGAGGGCACAGCCCTGGCAGCTGTGCCCAGCTCCTCGCTGGGTGCCCTGCACAGCCCCAGCCAGCGCTGCTGGCAGTGCCAGGTGGGTGCCGGGCACTGGGGCTGGTGGAGCTGCTCTGGAGCAGCCAGATGCTGCTTCCCAGCACAGCCTCCCACTGCTCGGGGAGGAGGCAGCACAGAGCCCTGTGCCTCCCAGCTAAGCATTAGTGAAGCTTTTTAATCTCTCACTGTGGGATTTCTTTTTTGCTTCAGCATCGCACCATAAAGTATTTCAGACAAGGTGACATTTTCCATCTGCATGAAGTGCTTGCAAACAGTGTGAGTTTAACTTTTATTGGCCTGATTTAGGGGTATGGGACTGTGCATAAGTCTTGGTCTCTCAACCTATAGCCTTGCACTTTAAGTGATGAATTAGTCAGTAAAATAAACAGGGCATTATCTAGCTGTACACACGTCTGCATATGCCAAAGAAAATTCAACTGTGTTTGGAGGTAAAAAAGCTAATGGCGGTGAAATCAACTTGGCTATAAATTAACCAAAACTCAAAACTCACCCAGAACTTTCTGGGAGCCTGAGAGAGCTTCTCCTGCAGCAGAAGGCTTTGCACATTTGGAGGAGGGCAGTGCTGAATGGTCTGTGCCACTCGCTCCCTCGGAGTGTCTGGGTGCTCAGCCGGCTCTGAGCAGTGCAGGGGGTGAGATCCTGCTGTTCCCGCAGCTCCTGTGCCATCCCCAGGGAAGGAATGATCCATCAGTTCCCATCTGCAGCCATCCACAGATGCTGATGTCTTAATGGCAAGCGCCACACCTGCGGCTGGCTGTGATGGAATACTGATGGAGACATTAGTACCCAGGCTGGCGCTGGGCTTTTGTGTTTCATTTAACCCAGAACACAGCGCACTGCAATGTATACATTTGTAACTGCTCCCTTGATGGTCTCTCTGGAGTATTATAAAGATTTATCATGTAGTGTTTGGTCAATACTAAATACCGTGAAATGTCAGCAGAGCAGTTCTTGGGACTGCTTGAGCAGTAAATAACAGAATCCTACGATATCCAAAAAGAAATGAGCAGGTGAGCAAGTAACCTTAGAGAAACGAAACGAAAGAAACCCAATCCCTAACCTTCAGAAAAAAAACCAAACCGGATTTTATTATTAAGTCCCCTTGAGTTTTAATGAGATATACGAATATTTGTCATTTAGATGGACTGAGAAGCCATTTAGGTCTGGAAGCGCTGCACCATAGAAATCTGGGGTCAGGCATGATACCGAGTTTTCTCTCTTTTAACCCCCATGGGATCCCTGCAGCTCCTGCTCCGTGACCCTGTGGCAGCAGCAGGAGCATCCTCTGCATCCTCCTCCCCAGGAACTGCCTGGGGAACAGCAGCTGCTCCGTGGGATGAGGGGGGACACCCCTTCCCATTGCTGACACCTTTCCTTCCACTCCCTCCCAGCTAATGCTGGGGATTGCTCCCAGAAAACCTTCCAGGATGGGCTTTTTTACAGGTCAGAAATTGGCTACTGCTTAAACATATGTTCCTCTTTCCCTGTCTGTGACTTGCAGAATAGCTGCTAACTAACCAAAAGACAACGTGGTGAGCCAAGGCTATTAGTGAATAATAATGCCATTTGCAGGCAGCAGAGGCTGAGAGGCTTCCAGAGCAGTTAGCAGTCTGCAGGCAGCTCCCAGAAATGCATGAGCAGAGCTCCTGTGCATCAGCCAAGGAGCAATTATTCTTGGAAAGCACGTCTGCCTCACGCTTTAAAATCTCTTCTAGAGTCTTGTGTTTAAAAAAAATTAAATGAATGTGCTGAAAGAAAGCAGAGAAAGTGGAGGGAAGGAATCGCCTGGCTGTGAATGAAGGTGGCTGCAGGTGTGGGCAGAGCCTGGCACCCTCCAGCTCCAGGCTGGCTGCCCCATGGCAGGGAGAGGAGGAGGAGGAGGAGGAAGAGGAAGAGGAGACCCCTCTCTGGCCCTTCCCAAGAACAGAGATACCGGCAGCATGCAAAGCTCCTCAAAATTCGCATTTTTAACTGCAATTACAATGAACTTCAGCCAAGCAGGTTTGTTTGTTGTTGGTTTTTGAGTTTGGTTTTTTTTTTTCCTTTTGGCTTTCTTGTGGTTTTCTTTTCCCCAAACATCTCATTTGTAGCAGAAGATTATATTCCTAATGGGGTATTTTTGAGTGCAGTATCGTACACAGTTCTGCTCTTTAAAGAACTAGCATGGATCCTAACAACTCTCCAGGCAGGAAATCTGGTGGGAACTCTGCTTTCCTGCTTACTGATCTATTGCTGAATTCAGCGATCCCACTGAGCCCATCAGTGCAGTGCCTTGGTAGCAAGTAATGACACAGGGAGCCACCAAAGGACTGTTTTATGGTCCAAACTTGTTAACTTCAGAGAATAATTCTTTTGCAACATTATTATATTTTTTGGCAAATCACTGAGATGTTTGCTAGTTTATGCCACAATTTTATTTAACCACTGTAGTGCTATCTTTTTCCCTTTAAATTACATTTTTCAGTTCCTGCATGAGACTTACTGTCAACATTTGTGTATGTTGTAACATCTTTTTTTTTTTTTAATTCACTTATTTTAATTATGCATTTTAAGTGCATTGTTTTATGACATCACTTGTTAATTGTTCAATTATCACTCTGTTCCTCGGCTGCTCTGCAGAGTGCAGTAGCCTTGAACTGCAGCAAACAGGGGAAACTAAAAAAGCGGCTTAAAGAGCCGAAGATGCATGGCAGACAGTTCTGTGCCATTTAATTACACCTTGTTTGAGTAATTGGTGAGGGATGAACTCCCCTGTCAGTGTTGTAGGGATTTTGGGGGGTGGCACCGGGCTGGGGACACTGGGTTTGGGGACATTGTCGCGCTCCCAGCCCCTGCTGGCAGTGCAGGCAGTGCTGGGCAGTGCAAGGTGAAGGTGCAGCTTGTGAGGAGCATTCTCCTCCATTCTCCATCCTCCTGGCCCTCCTCAGCTCGCCTGTTCCATCCTGCTTCATTCACTTCCACACCAACGTCCCGGCCAGCGCGCCCTGCCTGGTCCAGGGATGCCAGATCCTCGTTACCCTGTACTGACAGGAGAATCAATCCACAAACACCAGGTTTATGTCCAAAAAGGAGACAGAGGAATCTTTTAACTTTATTTGAATAAAGGGAGAGGCCATGGGCCGTTCCCCTGGGGGTCTCAAATTTTTGGAGGACGCAGCCTCCTTTTTATCCCAATTTCCTGGCCACATCTCCCTCTCTCTTTCCACTGTCTGAGGTACTTGAGAGGCACAGAATTCCTGGAGTGCCTGATACCTAAGATTCCTCCCTAATGTATTATCCACCCTCTTAACTTTTAATTCTTATGGAATTTATGGTGTTTCCCCATTGTTTCTTTCATCTTGCAATATCCAATTTCATTAATCAGCAAACCTACAGTCTGTTTGTAAAGGCAAATATCTTTTTCTTCCGTTCATCAATCAGTGGAATCCTTCCCACTGTTTCTTTTATGTCTCAGTGCTGGTTTTAGATACCAGCAGACCCACAGCTTGTTTGGAAAGACAAATTCATCATTCCCCTCAGCATCTTTGGTGAGGAGGCAGCCCGTGGGCTGTCAGTGCTGACTGCAGGAGCAGCAGGGGCAGCCCGGGCTGCAGGGAGGAGCTGAGGGGTTCCAGGTGTGCTGCTGTGAGTTCCAGGTGTGCTCTGGGCTCCAGGTGTGCTGTGAGTTCCAGGTGTGCTGTGGGTTCCAGATGTGCTGTGGGTTCCAGGTGTGCTCTGAGCTCCAGGTGTGCTGTGGGTTCCAGGTGTGCTCTGGGCTCCAGGTGTGCTGTGGGTTCCAGGTGTGCTGTGGGTTCCAGGTGTGCTGTTGTGGTTTCCAGGTGTGCTGTTGTGGGTTCCAGGTGTGCTGTGGGTTCCAGGTGTGCTGTGGTTTCCAGGTGTGCTCTGGGTTCCAGGTGTGCTGTTGTGGGTTCCAGGTGTGCTGTTGTGGTTTCCAGGTGTGCTCTGGGTTCCAGATGTGCTGTTGTGGTTTCCAGATGTGCTGTTGTGGTTTCCAGGTGTGCTCTGGGCTCCAGGTTTCACCTTCAGCAGGTGGGATTTTGGGCTGCAGGGGCAGAGCAGCTCCCTGGCAGCTTGGAAGGGTGAAGGATTGTCACGGTACTGTCACAGTACAGCCAGACAAGGTAAATGTGGCCATAACACAAAGGCAGCTCGGCTGTTCATGGCAGAACAGGTCCTGGGTAAGTCCAGGGGACCCCCAGCCCCCCAGGTGGGATCAGAGTGCTGCCTGGGCAGGAGGCTGGCACACAGCAGGGCAGCACAGCCTGGGGGATGTGCAGGCTGCTTTAGGGACAGCCGGGTTCTGAGGAACCCCACCCACCCTGCGACACCAGAGATGATGAGGAAGAGCCCAGCTCCTCTCCCACACCCAGCCCAGAGGTCCCAGAGCTGTGTGACACATCCTCCAGGGAGCTGTGCACATCTCCTCGCTTTCACCAAACAAACCAAATCAGCCTGAAGCTGGTTTTTAACACTAAACTCTTCATTAGATAGCTCACACAAAGCCTGCCAGGTGCACTGGGACATGTCCAGGTACAAAACCCTTTCATTTGCAAGTCCACAGTGTTGACCAGTTTGGGAGGGATGTCTGAGCTGATGGCTCGTGTTTCCACGAGGAATGCAACAGTTTGTGACCCATTTATAACAAAAGAGCTGAAGATGCTGAGATTCCCCATATATTGCTGCAGTTTCTCGCTTGTTTTACAGTAATTTGATATTGCCTGAACATAGTAGTCAACCTTTTTTTAACTCCTGCTTGCAGGGTAGAACAGCAGGGATGACAAGCCTTATGCTTTAGTTCAGAAATAGCTCACATCAGTGAGAGCAACCGGGGTTGCACCACGGGAGAGGGGTAGTGGCAGCACAGAGCTCTACTGACTACTGAGGTTTCATACAAGAAAACCATATTGCCTGCCAGAGAAATTGCATGTTGGCCTAAAAGGCTGCCTAGGCTTAATTTGCTCTTGAACCCTGGCTCATGTCTGGTTTTTCATTCTTTATCTCCACAAAGTGTGTTCATTTTAGAGCTCTGGATTAGTTGGAGTCCTCAGAACGCGGAATGGAGACTTTAATGAGCACCGTGATGGTCCTGCCCCACCTGGAGCAGGCAGTGGCAGAGTCTGCAGCAGCTGAACACACCTCTAGGTTGCTGTTCTTTCCTAAAGGCAAAACTTGCATCCCACAATATCCTGAAAAACCTGAGAAATAGTTAATTAAGGTGGAAAAGCAGGCACAGTAAGTGCATGGAGGGAAAATCCCACTCTGGCCAATTGAAATTTCATTTGTGCCTTAAACAGGGGAACAAAACCAATTAAGAGTAGCAATGACCTTGCATCCTTGTGCAGCTTTGCTGTGCCTGAGCTGTGGAGGACCAGATTTGTTCTTAGGGCAACACAGTTGGGGGAAAGGTAAACCACAGCATGAGGAGCAGGGAAAAAATTAACAGAGAAAGTAGGCAAGGATGAAAGCAGCACTCAGAGTCACCTGGGTGCTGGAGAGCATCTGCTCGTGTGGATAGAGAGGGAGACAGAACACGAGCAGTGGCTCTGAAGCAGCCACGCTGGATGTTTATTGCACAGGATGTTTATGCTGGATGTTTATTGCACAGACAGGACTGGGACAAATGAGAACATCCCCATGTTTCCAGCAGGCTGTGCACAACGTGTGTGACTCTCACAGTGACCACAGACCTCAGGAACCTCAGGTGAGTGCCTTCCTTTGAGAAAACTGCATAATCTATTTCCAAAACCGTGAAGCCCAACCTCAGAGATCACAGGGATTTTGCCTGATTAAAGACCTGAATAAATTCAGAGGCCAGGTTGTCTGGCTGTTGTAGCAGCAAATGTGGGAAGAAGGGCCTTGGGCTATTTTCCTTGACACGGAAAACTTACATGACAGATCATTTGATGTGTTGATTCTATTTTTTAAACATTGCCTAGCACAGCCATCAGAGCTGGCTGCAGCCCAGCTCTCCTGCCTGGCAGGGCAGGACTCTGCTCCCACAGGGCAGCAGCACCTTTCCTCACGTGTGTTCTGCACAGCCAGCACAAGCTCTCAGTGATCCATCCCTGTGTGTGTGCACGAGCTGTGGACACCAGCACAGCCAGCCTTTGGCACAGCTCACTGGGACAGCGATGGCTCTGCCAGAGCAGCTGTGCTGCCACCCCAAACTGCTCTCAGCAGCCATTCTCTCCATGGGGACAGTCCCACGAGATCCACGGCCCCAGGTGACCCTGGAACCTCGGTGGAATGTTCCAGGGGAGCACTGCATCCCCCTCTGCCTGCCACTTGGGAATGGGAGCTGTGCTACCACCGGTTCCTCAGCCCTGCAGTGCTGAGCCCTTGTGGGAGTGCTGAGCACCTCCACGGACAGACAGACAGACAGACAGACAGACAGAGAGCAGCACTGCCTCGCTGCCATGGCTGACACCTTGGGAGGGAAGTTTTCATGCTGGGGAACCTTGCTGAGCCCTTCCCACATTTCACATGTGTGAGAGGAGATGTTCTGAGGGAGGAGGTTCTTGCAGATTCCATGTGGTGTTTGGCTGGTGGGATCTCTTTTACTGGTGCTGGAGTGACAGGGACAGAAACGAGCCAGACTGCCAGGTCCTGAGAAGGTACATGCTCAGAAACAGGAAAAAAAGATAAAACTGTATTTTCTGCTTTGTTGTTGGTTTTGTAAGTAGCTTTAAAAGCAAAAGCAATCCTAAACGTTCAAGGTTGAATCCTTGGTTTTGTCAGATTTTCTTTTCAACACCAGCACGTCAGAGCTTGTGGACAGACCTTTAAAATGACACCAAAGGGTAGTGCTGAAGTGCAGAGACAGCTGAGACTCTTCCAGTTGGAAGAATTCTCCAGCCCTCCCTTCCTGACAGAGGCAATGGGAGATGGCAGATGGTAGGTGGCATTTGTTTATCAAAACAAGAACTGTGGGATCTCTTGGGGTGCTGGAAAAACTATGCAGCTGAAGTGAGAAGTCTATGTGCACTGATCAGCTCTTTTTTCTGAACTAGAGAACTGCTCCTGTTTGGTGCAGCTTGCAGGAAAAATGAATTGAGGCAAGGAGAAGCGATAGGAAGAGCATCAGCCCTGTGCTGGGTGTGAAGGTAAAGGCTGCCACACCTCTCACCAGCAGCAGAGCCCAGACTCCAGGAACAGCCACTGAGGGTGGGAAGGGCATCCACATCAGGGGGTAACAACAGCCCCATCGAGAACCTCAGCTCAGTTCCCAGAGTCCTTTCCCTGTGCTCAGGTCTGTGACATCCAGAAAGTGATGTCATATTCTGTCTTTAATATCTAAAATGTTCACACTATTCCACTAGAGAGGCTGCAGACCTGTTGAGTTGGATTTTTTTCCACACATGAATATTGCCAAACTCTCTTGAGAATATTCAGGTTTTCCAGCTTTTCTAATGCCTAACAGCATCCCTGTTTTGTCCTAGGAAGAAAAATTAATCCAATTTACTCCTTGTATGCTCCACACTCCTGAATAACCAGGGTAGCCAGAGCAGAAAGATGAGGTGCTCAGGATGCAGCACAACTGCAGCATCCCCATGGGAGGCAGCTGGAAACTGGAGGTCAGTGCCTCTCACAGGGATTAGTGTGAATTAGCAGGAGCTTCCCCTCGAGCTGTGCAGTTTGGGGATGCTTTCCTCAGTGGAGATGGTTGGGCGAGAGGCAAAGTGCTCTGCATAGCAAGGCAGATGTGCATCCAAACAGATGTGGTCATTCTGCCACTGGGGCAAAGCCAGAGCAGCTTTAGGATGAGAATGGAGATAAATTGGAATTAAAAAAAAGGTATGGGAGGAGAACTGGAACCCTAATGTTGCCTTTTCTTTCAAACTGATCTGTACACATGTCACACAGTTGGATGTATGAATAGTAAATTATTCTATTCATTTCTTACTCTTGATGAACAGTAAATTAGTCTAATAACATTTACTGTTCAATTCATTGATTGTCAGAGGGAGATTAGAGGCAAATAGCTTTTAAGTCTTTCCAGCTGCAAACATTAGAGTTGTCTAAAGTTATGATTTCTGACTGTAATTAGCTGCAGTTCTGCAGCATCCCCCCTCCAGCTCTGTTCCCACAGCCCTGGCCCTGCCCCGAGCTCTGCCAGCCTGTGGCAGCAGGGATCCCAGGGACCACCTCAGCCAGCTGAACCCTCGACAAGGCAGGTAACCAAAATCAGTGCTTTTAACACAAATTTACCCAAATGGCTTCACAGCATAGCTGAGCAGGAGCGCTGAGCAGGGAGAATGAGAGCTGTGAGGCTGGGGGTGCAGGGGGGTGTCTGTGTGTGTGTGTGAGCAGTCAGGCTGTGCCACGGCAGGAAAATCCTCACTCCTCATGTCCGGAGGGTCTGAAGAGCTCCCATTCCCCCGAGGGCTCCCCGAGGCTGACACCAGTGCAATACAAGTGTTGGAGCAGGGAGAACAAGGCCCATAAAGCAGCAGAGGAGTCAGGCCAATTGCAGACTTGTACCTGTGTGCTCCTCTTTGTCATCCTGCTGCCCCTGGCCCTGGCTCTGCGCTGGGACTCAGCCCTATCAGCGTGAAGGTGCTGCTGGCCATTTCACAGACACAGAATTACTTGTAGCCAGCAGAAACCATAAACAGCAGAATCATTTCAAACCCTGCCACAGCTTGGAGGTGTTTATTACCTTTATCTACACCCTGCCCCCCTTCTCTTCCACAAGACTAAAGAAGTAAATAAAAGTGGCCTCCTCTTGCTATGCGAGTCAGGCTCTCTGTGTTTGAGACGTGCTCGCTGCCAGCTGCGGCTGGGCTGAGAGCTTTGGGGAAATCATCCTCCTGCCAGTGCCAGAGCCCTGCTGGATCAGAGCCCAGGGATGCTTTGCATCACCTAAAAATCACTTTCCTCCAAGCCCTGCCGTGGGTGGGGACACTTCAACTGGACCAGGTTGTTCCAAGCTTCGTCCAACCTGGCCTTGGGCACTTGCAGGGGTTGGGCACCCACAGCTTCTCTGGACAACCTGTGCCTGAGCCTCACCACCCTCACAGGGAAGAATTTCTGCCCAGTATCTCATCTAACCCCCACTTTCAGTTTGTAGAGGGTTACCCCGTGCACGACCCCCAAAGTGAGGTAATTCCCCCTGTCCTGTCACCCCAGCTCCTCGTGAAAGGTCCCTCTCCAGATGTCTTGCAGCCCCTCTGGGTCCTGGAAGGGTTCTCAGGTGTCTCAGCCTGGGTACCCAGCACTGCTGCTGAGGCTGGAGTGGCACGAGGAGATCCTGGGGGAGCTCAGGTGAGGCTCCTGGCACGGCAGGGCTGGCTCCTGGCACGGGCAGGTAGCCACAGGGCTGGGTCCTGGCATGGCAGGGCTGGGTCCTGGCACAGCAGGTAGCCACAGGGCTGGCTCCTGGCACAGCAGGGCTGGCTCCTGGCATGGCAGGGCTGGCTCCTGGCACGGGCAGGTAGCCACAGGGCTGGCAGGGCTGGGTGGCCAAGCTGTGGGCATGGGCAGCCACAGGGACAGATGGGGCTGCTTCAGCTGTGGAGATGCAGCTTCTGCTTTCTAAACATGTGGGCTGCAAGCAGCAATAAACCAGCACTCTCCATATTTCAGGGAAATTCGTTTTCATCAGAAAATGGGAAATCTGTTAAAACTCACTGTGTGCAAATAGTTGATTTTTGGCAGAATATTCCACAGGGGAATCGGAGAAGACGTTTTCCAGACTGGAAGATGCTGGGGTTTGGTTTATATTTAGCTCAGCTCACCTGGGCTGTGGCAGTTTCTGGGAGAGCTCAGCTCCAGGGCTGTGCTGGCCCTGCCACGGCCGCTGCCACACGAGGGGAGCTGAGCAGGAGAACGGGACCACGACTCCAACAAAGGCAAACAATACCTCAGCTGCAGACAGGGATTAATGTCAAAGCAAGATCTTATTAAAGACAAGGCTTCTAATTTAAATTTCTCCGGGTGTTTGCTCATTTCTTTTTGTTTTTTTGCTTCCTCTCCTTCCCACAGAGCGACCCACAGTAATGAAAAATGCCAGAACTTGGGAGAACTGGAGTTGTGACTGCTTGGATGGGGTTCATTTTCAAAGCTTCACCGTTCGTGCCTTCCTTACCCTAAGGTTTTCAAACAGAAATATACACACACCTTAACAACAAAAGGCTATAATGACTGCATTGTCACCAGATAAAACTGTACTAAAAATAAATAAATGCTGCAGTTTAGCCTGATTCAGTAGCCAGGGCCCTTATTATTCCTCCACCATTCAAGGGGAGATTCAGTTCCAGCGCAGTGCTCTCCATCTCTGCAGCATCCCTCCTTCGGCCGGGGCTCCTCGCAGAGCTCCTCTCTGCTCCCAGATGTGCAGGGTTAGGCAGAGCCACGGCTGAGGGTGGTGGTCACTGATGCATGTTTTTAAGTGGCAGGACACAGTGAAGAATCTCGGTTTAAGTGTAATAAAAGCGAGGTCCCGATTTGTTAATGAGGAGCATTGTCTGCTGCAGACACTAATTTCACTACAGGGTGCAGTCTTCAAACTTTTCACTCTAATTAGAATGCATTTCCATATTCTTTATCAATTTCTTCCCTTATTGAAATCTTCTCAAATGACCTTTTTTTCTTCACTTATGACTCATCCCAAGATTTTTATTTTTCCCAAAACAATCATTGAGATGCAGCCACGTTTTTCCAGTAAACACATTGAAAAATAAATGACCTTGCCAGCTCATGGCTGTACAGTGGGAGAAGGGCATTAGCAGTGCAGAGGCAGCTACTAATAATACATGGGAAAATTAAGTATGGGAGAAGACCTTCTTCTCCTAATTCCTTGAGCATTTAATTTCCAAATGCCCTGCAGTGGAATGTGTCTCAGGCAGGAGCTTAAAGGCTGCCAGTGGAGTTCCAGCAGTGGGAAAACAAGTCCTGACAGAACAAGGGGCATTTTATGCACACAGGAAAACAGGTTATCTGCTAAGGAGGCTTTTTATTATTATTATTATTATTATTATTATTTATTTCCTTCAGTCCTCCACAGCTGTGTCCAGTTCCAATTTTTCTAATAAAGTAAATTATTAACTCAAGTTGATGAATTGGTTGGTGTTGGTAATAGGCTTTCAAAATGATTAGTGATATATACTCATTACCCAAATTAAAAAGCCATATTAAAAATAAGGAGAGGAAATGTAGCAGCATTATCAAAGTAATAATTTCTATTTAGTGCATATCTTTCCTGAACTTTGGCAAATGTTGAATTATGCAAGACAAACACTAATCTGAAAGCATTCTAATTAATGATGGTATTTCTTTGCTATGGAATTATACCCAACACATTCACAGTGCATCTGACTTAAATGTTATCATCAATTCTTCACACTGTGAGGAAGATTGTTGATGTGTTTGAAAATATTACACCTATACACAAGTTACCAGGCTTGAGCCATGATTCTTAGGATAGAATTATGAATTAATTCTATTTTTCTATTAATTCTATATTATATTAATTCTATAATTTCTATATCTATTAATTCTATTATTCCTTAGGATAATTATGAATGGAAAAGACCTACAGAACTCAAAGTTCACCCAAAATAATAGTGATAGTAATAATGGTAATAACAGTAATAAGGGTAATATACTACTAATAATAGTAGTAATTATAATAATAAATGATAATACAAGTAATGGTATAAATTATTGGTTTTATTTATTACGAGACATGAGTATCTTGACATCAATTAATCACAGTGTTTGTTATCCAGGGTTTGCCACACTTTTCACCACTAACAGTATCAAACAGTTGTTTTCCCTTTAGAGGCTTTATAGATGAAAACATATTTACAAAACTTCTTTCAGAATAAAACAATAATCAGGCAGCTAATTAAGCACAATGTAAGTGCTGAGCTTTTGAGTTAAAGACCTGTCCAGGCTGCAACATCATTTTTACTTTGTTATTATATGCAGGAAGCTAATAAAAATATAATTTTGGAAAAAAAAAATCACATTAGTGATTTGCCAGAGTGAATGTAGATGTCAAAAATGCTAATGCAGAGAAGCTGTCAGGAGTTTAAATAGATTTTTCACTGACTTGCCGTTCTTAATTATAGCTCAGCACCCTGTACAGGTTAAAAAAATGCTGGGTTCCTTCGAAACAAACTATGAGCTCCTTACCATCTCATCAAATTCTCCTTCTCTTTCTTTCAAATGGATCAATCAGATGCCAACACATAACATTTTTCATTTACATCTTTTCTTAAGCTTCCTTATCCACTGCAATTATATTTTTACCCAAACCTATCCTGAAGGGGATAGAAGAGATTTCATGGAAGAAGCATAATTGGCAATTGAGCTTGCTCTTTTCGTGGGCTTCTTTTATGAGAAAAGATAACGTTTTGTGTGGTAGAAATTCAGCTCTTAAATTAGGGGGTATGCTGGCTACTTAGTTAAATAATCTAGAATAATCAGGTCAGGAGGGAATAGCACATCGCTCTCGCTTAATGTTTTGTATTAATTTTTCAGATAATGGAATTCCACGTACTAAGCAAGCGTTCAAGAGCGCATCAGAAAAGCGCCACGAACCGGAGGATTGACAAGCTGCTAATCCAATCCTCTGACAGTCACAGGGAGCCATGGAAAAGAGATCCTTTGTTCCTTAAGAGCTGATTGAGTTCCATTAGTGTCCATATTCAGAGCCCTGGGCACAATATTAAAGCTAATACTGTTGTTACGGAGATGGAAAGCCGTTAAGAATGAACAATAATCAGCTCACAATATCATTGGACATATTCATGCAGCTTGTACTGGGGTGAGATCTGATAGCTCTGAACCTTTCTAAAGAGAAAACCAAAATCCAATTAACATCTTCCGTGTAAACCTCCTCGGCTACTTTCACTGGAGATGACCTTGGGCAGCTGTGCTGCAATTTTGCCAAAACCTCAATTATGTCTTTAATTCAGCGGTGTTGTTGGGTTTTGCCCAAACAGAAGGCCTGGCTCTGCAGC